CCCCACCATGCAATGTTGCTTGCGCACAGACAGACCACCCATCAGAATTTCTCCCGAAAAGCCCACCTGTGGCTTTGCTCCAAACCAGGAATTATTTATTTTATGATGCTTTCATTGCTTCCTCACCTGTGCTTTTTTAAGGAATGGTTTTCAGGGCCATTCTCTTTTCTCTCTAATTAAAATTTCACAGTATGAATGCTGAAACAAAGATTTCTTACCATTTCTGTTCTCTCAGTGTCCAGGCACAGTATGCCTATTCACCTATTAAGCACAATGGAAAAAAAGTGTAATGCAGAAATAGAGCACAGTCATTAACCCCTGGAGAGAAGGGAAGTTAGTGCTAGTTTAACTGGGAATGGTAACTGCTTCGCAGTCAAGAAGATTATTCTTGTATGTAAGATTTTTCACATAGGTAACTAGATCCCTGGGGGTGCTTGAGAATTCCTATTCTGCCTTTTCAAGCAGTGATACATCAGACAATTCAGGGCAGAAACAGAGGGCTTGGTATTTGAGGTAGTTTCTTTAATATCAAAGTTTATTTTTGTGTTGTAAGGAAGCAGACCATAGGAAATAGGGCAAATCAATTGAAACAGCTCAGTAAGAGGGAGGTGTCAGTGGGTGAAAAGCGTTGTACGTTCATTTTACAGAGCCCCTTATGGAAAGGCTGTGGATATGTGGTCTGTAGGCTGTATCCTGGGAGAGCTGAGTGATGGGCAGCCCTTGTTTCCTGGTGAGAGCGAGATTGACCAGCTCTTTACCATTCAGAAGGTGCTAGGCCCACTGCCAGCCGAGCAGATGAAGCTCTTCTATAGCAACCCACGCTTCCATGGCTTGCGGGTAAGAGAAAACTTTGTTCTTTTTTTTTTCATTTACTCACACTTTATTTACAGTATTGTCATTGTTGCTGTGAAAGTTCTTTTAATTTACATTGTGCATTATCTATTGCATGTGTTTCTGTGTAAGTATAGGATATTTAAATTATAAGGCATTCATAACTCAAAGTAAAATTCTGATTACACCAGTATTGACTTTTATAAATACATCTGGTTTACTGTTAAAAGTGATTAAAGATTTTCTTTTATTTCTTTGACTTTTTTGGCATGCAATTTAGTATTTATGTCCAGCTTAGCATTGCCCTGCCAGGTTTGCACTGTGAAGTTCTGTGGCATAGCTCTGTCAGTTCAAGGTGTGGAAAATTCACGCCTGCTGGCTTCAGGCTGCTCTGTTGCAAAAATCTGAGCCATAGATGCTGCTATCGCGACAGAAGAGCTTTTTGCCTTTTGACTTATGTTCCTTGGGAGTTGATGTACGCCACGTGAGTAGAAAAAGCTCTTCCTACTGATAGAATTGTTCCCCTTTCAGAGGCTTGTCAATACCATGTAATGACAGAGACTCATTAGCCTAGAGAAGCTGCTGAAGTTGGTACGCACAATATGGCAAAATCCCAGAAGCAATATATAAGTAATAGCTCTGTTATCTTTAACAATACCTGGTCAGTGATTGTACTCATGTTTCCTTGTAATTCAGTCTTGGTTGTCATTTTTATTAATGAATGTTGCTTAGAAAGGTGAATTTATGATCTTGATAAATGGTCTGAAATCACTAATGTGAAATCCTATAAAGAGACATACAAAGGTTCTAGGAGACCTGGTCTGTGCTAAAGACTTGGGATTTGAGTTTTACTCTGTAAAAGAGAAAACTTAGAGAAAGGGAACAAGGGGGGACCTAGTTGTGTTAAAACATGTTAAGAGTTGCCATAAATTTGTTTTACCTCATGTTGTTAAGAAAAGAAATTGTTGGCTCAAGGTGTTAGGATGATTATTTTAGCTACAAGGATAGTTACTTCCTAAGGAGTTTTTGTTGAATTTTGTAGACCATCAGTGGAGGCTTTAAAAGAACGATTAGACAAGCGGTTCTTGCACGATCCTATTTGTATTTGATCCTATTTAGAATAGTGGAATGAATGGGTTTTTCTGTTTAAAATAAATAAATAAATAAAAAATTATAACCCCTTTTCAGGAAAGCAATGCGTTAAAAGTTATAAGCAAAACAAATTACTGCCTATTCACCATTATTTTACAGCAGTTCTAGTTCTGCAGTGTAATCTTATTTGGATAAATGCTCTTTAATGTCTTCGGATGAGAATGAAGTATCTTTGTTTTGTAGCTTTAAAATACAGTAATTCAAGAAGACAGCATGGACCTAATGTGATTAGCACAGGGTTGAGAGTTATGAGCTTCTGTTTTCATCCTGGATCAATGGCTTATTACCTGCCCTCAGACATGTTGCTGCCTTCTTAGCCCCATCTGTAAAGTCAGGATACTATTGATGGTAACAGTGGCATATGCCTTCAAATAGAGAGTAGTTTTTAAATACTAAACTAAAGTCTGAATAATGGCTTAAACATGAAAAATAATACCAAAAAAATGGTTTGGAATGTGATATTCATTAGTTAGTTAATGGGAAAAATTTATTCTATGCTAGAAGACAACCTTAAAAGTACCTTTTTCTGAATCTAACGTAGTGCTTCATAGTTGAAGATTTTCTGTTGCATAGCAAATAGAAGGTATGCTGTGATCATGCAAATTATTGTTTACAAGCTGGATCTGGTGCTGGGTATTCACAAGAGAGAAACTAGCCCATGATGTAGAATTGTTTATCCATATGTTTAGGCTTTGTGAATTTCTACATTACCATAGCTGTGGTTACTACCATATTGTAGCACAGGATTTTAAAAATTCTAATGCAAACACTCCAGCACCACATGCACGTGTATACTGATGCACATCTGCAAACTTTCTGTCTTTTCTTCCTGCTCATTTCCTCCCTGCATATATATATACATGCAGTTTTCCTCACTCCTGAGGTTTAGGGAGTGTTTAGTGATCTCTCTTCAGTCCTTTTGAGGAAAAAAACATCCATGGTATGTTGAAGGCCCAAGGAAATAAAATAATATGGAATCAGAAAGTACCTATAGGCTCGTGCCCTTATGGACATGGTTTAGTGGTGGATTTGGCAGTACTAAGTTAACGGTTGGACTTGATGGTCTTAAAGGCCTTTTCCAACCTAAATGATTCTATGATTCTATGAAAATGTGAGTGGTAATGTAGGGCTGTAAATATTGTTCTACAAATAAGTTTTATAAGCAATCTGGAGAATCTGAGCAATTCCAGGGAATAGCCATCTCTTACTACTGCTTTGCATGACTTAGCACATTTTCATGTTTCCGTGATCGCTCCAGATGTAAAATCTTCTTTATGATGGTCATTCTACATGAAGACAAGAATATTTTGAAATTTGGTTCATGTAAAAAGTGGAGGAAGCATGTAAGCCTTGGTTCACCTAAGTCATTAAGATCAACATAGCAGACTTGGACTGAAAAATATTCTCAATCATTAGAAAACCACTTCAAAAGAAAGCAAAGTAGAAAGAAAAACAGAGAGACTATTCAGAAACAAACACATTCAAACTAATGTTTTTTCATTTTCCTTCAAAGCTCACATATTGTAATTTATGAAACGTAATGCCAGTACAAACAATGGGCAGCAATTCATAGTGGTCTAACACTTAGGCACACACAGTGCACATGCAATGCATTTTGCTTCCATATAAAATATATTTTTGGAAATGAGTGTTTGTACTGAGTTGGTCTTTAAAGCATAGGTTTGAAGCTAGTATTTAATCTGAGGAAAGTGAACGTGTAAATATGTGTACCTAACTGTAACAATCCTTAGGTGTAAGTGAGAGCTGAAAAATGCCCAAGTTAAAGTAAAGGAGTAAAAGTCTTTAAGGCTTCCTGCTCATTGACATTTTAGACCAAATGTATAGTTCTTCCTCATAAAATGTTTATCTTAATGTTTGTTGGGTTTGTTTTTGTTTCCCTCCCCCCCTCCCCCCTTGCTGTTGTCTGTCTTAATCACTGGGTTGAATTTTACTGTTTTCTTGTATGTTCAGTGATATTTTAACTATAACTCAGTATTTTATGTGGGTATGTTTTATGTATAACTTGAGCCCATTTGGGCATATAGTGATGGCTGTTATGTACGAATAGAACACTGCATGCTTCCTGTGGTCAATATTCTTGCTTTGATGTGTTAGCTTAAGAGAACTTTTTAGAAAGTACTTAGGATGTGAATGAGATCAAGCCAGGCCACAGCTGAAACACTTGCATACTATTAAGCAAGTTCCACAGCTCTGGGAACTGCTAACAAAGTGTCTGGATCTCAGTTGCATACTTTTGGATAAACTGTGATTAATGCAAATAGGCTAGCTGATTGTTGGTTTGTTTTTTTCCAGAGGCTTCTCTGGTATTCAAATGCATAATTTTCTCTAAAATCAGCATGAGTTGGATCCATGAGGGTTTTTATGCCTCTGTTGGAAATCCAGCCTTAATTTCTAATTTTGAAAACACTGGCATGTGTGTTTAGTTTTTGAATTTGCAGTAACCTCACAAAAATAGTTTATCTATTTGTTTGTTGTCAGTTCAACACATGCCATGGTCTGGAAATGGATCTTTGTTATCTGTTTCTTTTCAACTCATTGTACTTGATGTTATGTTACAGCAATGAAATATTGAGCAACTTTTCATTCATTTGATAGGAAGAAAAGATTCTGCCTTAATTTTGTTTGACTCTTGCCTTGTTTACAAAGCAAGCAAAAAACCACAATTCTGTGCTTTATTTTTTCTTTATTCAAATCATCCCTGCCTGTCCTGTTCTGTTTTCTAGACAGGGCTAGTTTCAAATACAGCCTCCATCAGGTTTTATCCAGACTCAAGCTGACAAAAGATGCCCTCCAGCAGTGTGCACTACATCTCGTGGTGTTGCCAGTTGTTACTGCAGCGTGACCACAGGAGTAATCCTGAACCTGAAACCTTTGGGGTTTTGATGTTTTTGACTAAAAAAGTTCTGGAATTGTCTGTTAATCTTTGATGTTTAATTAATACTGTATTTGCACTCTCAAATTATCTCAAAGCTATTTTTAATCTCTCTTTAGAATATACATTACTTATGTTATTTCTGAATCTATTTTAAACCTCCCACCTCTTGTCAGTCATGCCACAAACACATTTATAAATCTAAGTTGATTATTTATCATTTGAGAGAGGTTCCTTGACTGTCCTACTAATCAAGAATACTTTCTTTGGTTGACTAGGTGCATATCGTACATCAACAGTTATTTCTTTCATGATAATGTTTTGTAATGTTTCATAAACCACTAACTTTTTCAGTGCATATGATTCCTGTTAATTACATGCCTTGATTCACTGTGTAGTTTCTATTTTTTGAAACATTATATTCATGTATACCTTGTTTACATTCTCAGTATATTTATGCTATATTATTTTTACAGTTTCCAGCAGTCAATCATCCACAGTCTTTAGAGAGAAGATACTTGGGAATTTTAAGTGGTGTATTGCTTGATCTTATGAAGGTAGGAAAATGTGTTTTATTTTCTGTCTGTAATAAG